GGGGTTATTCAGGGGGTACAGGAGGGTTATATCGGAGTTATACCCTTCTGTAACCGCCCTGTAACCTCCTTATAAACTACCTGTAACCTACAAATGAGTTCTACGCTTTCGTAGTTTCATTGGTACAAATAAATTACATGGAGATTACAAGGAAGTTACACGGAGGTTACAGGGGGGTATAACCCGAATATAACCCCACTGTACCCCCTGAATAACCCCTAACATACGCAGCGCTGCGTATGTCTTATGTACGCAAATATTTTACCAAGGAATAGAGTGTAGAACAAAGAAGAGAAAGAGAGACTACAACAAAAAAAGGGAGGGGGAGAGAGAGTGTGTGCACGCTTGCAGTAAAAAATTGGTTCTTTGATAGCTGCGTGATTAGCCTTTTATTATATAAATGACCCAAACCCCTATTTATAGATAAATGTGATATAAAGTGTACAATTACATGCTTGCTCTTGCTTTTATGGGGCATTACATGATATTTTAGGTATAAAAAATAAATATGTCTATGACTCAACTACCCTAACACTTTGCCTGTTGAGATCAGTATTCCTTGGAACAACAAGGCTCGTTCGGCCAACTCTACTAAGTTGGGACAGTCGGTCGACAGTGATTGACCTTCGGTCGTCCGGACTTCGCTCGATCTGCTTAAGTCAATCATTCGTCTACTTTGGCCCGACAGTTGACCGTCGACCCCAAATGTGGAGCCCTCTATAGTTAGGATAAGACTAGGCTGTCAGGCAAATGACGAATCACTTTAATCCACAAATAGAAATGAGAGTTAACAACACGTGTTTTTTTTTTTTTTTTCACACCTCAAATATAGAAGAAAAAAAATAAATTCTATGCTGCAAAGGAGGATTCGTGCGGTCAAACTTATTGTGGGTCAATCTTCATCCTTTGACCGTTTTGTTATTTTTTAAATTAATAAAAAAATAAAAATTTACCCCATTTTCCTCCGTTCTCTATTCAAGCAATAGAAGCTCCCAAAATAAATTTTTATTAAGAAAATTAGAAATTATGTATGTAGAAGCATTAAAAATTAAATCAAACAAAGAAAAATATATTCTTGCTAGTTATAAAAATAATTAAAATATTGACCGGACAAAGGCATTATTATTATTTTATTTATATAAAAATTAAAATATCATTTAAATAAAATATGTAGTGGATGTAGGATGCTATGTGATCTAATACGATATCTTTCTAGAAGAGACAAGCAGGCCAAATAAATGGAAGAAACATAAAATATGACAAAAGTGATTGGCTATGAGAAAAGAGCGAATTCAATTATTACTCGTGTTGAAAATAACAAGATTTAAATGAAAAAGTGCATGCAAATTTAAAAAGTTGAGTGTTTGAGGACGAAATTGAATGAGGTGAGTTGAGAGAATTTTGATGTTTCATCATCAATAGATGGCTCACTGTCGTATGATGCTAATGCTCGTCGTTATTTACGCTCATTGTTGTCAGACATCTAAAATTTTTTGTTAAATCTTCAAGAAATGTCTTTCAATGTTTTATGTTTGTTGGCCAATGACATCCAACATTATTCTTTTTGGTCATCATTCCCTTATTCTATGACAGAGTTGATCAAATGAAGCATTGACTATATATCGATAGTAGTTTAAAAGATCAATCCTTCAATATCTATCATTATCTGACGTGCATCAACTATTGACAATCGGCATTCAACTCTTGATCGCTTGATCACAACACATTATTATTTGAAGATAACTCAAATCATCTACAATCTACTATTTTGATAATGGAAGATGAAACTCACAATTTATATCTATTATACTTTATTAGGATATTCTCCAATTATAAAGAAGAGCTTCTTTATGAGATACTACACATATTATTGGTATTATGTCTATTGAGTCATGCTCAGAGATATTTCTCACTCTTAGTTTGACATAAAAGTTTCATGACTCACATGAACTGCTCTTTATTTATCTTTATATGTGAATGGGGTTTTTCATTCAATGTTTATACTTTGATTTGATGTTGTAGATCATTTCTTATTGGTTATGATGTATATTGAAATTGTTGTTAGTGATGGCTATCAATCTTTCTGACATTAGTGAGCACGATGTTATTGGGCAGCTAGATGACAATATTGGAATGATAGTACTTATACAAAATGTTTGACATATTATGATTAGGTAATAGGGGGTATGATGTTAATTATTTGAAGTGAGCACGATGTTATTGGGCAGCTAGATGACAATAGTGGAATGATAATACTTATACAAAATGTTTGACATATTATGATTAGATAATAGGGGGTATGATGTTAATTATTTGAAAACCATGATATCTCACAACAATATCACATGATAATTATTGGGCAAAGCTCTCTCAAACTCCATCTCTATGTCAAAAAAATTGCAAAAATTAAATGGAAGTTGGGTTGCATGCATTTGTGACACAAATTAAATCAAATGCATGTTCTTTACACTGTTTGATGTTTGATTAAAGGAAAAAGAAAGAAAACTCAATGCAATTTCTCCTTAAGTTCATTTTTAATGATTTTGAATTTGATTTGAGAGAATTTCCTATGTATTGAAAGTGTAAAGTATAACTTGCATTCGTCAGTTGAAGCACTCCCCTCTGCCGCCCAAAATATCCATTGTGTTGCATGTCACCATCCACCCGTCTCCAACTCTCAAGTACTTTGATCGTCATTGTTGTATTGCCTGCCACAACTTGAAATATTTAATGTATGTTTATATATTGTTGAATAATGATTTTTCTGAGAATGACACCCAAAGAATAGAGAGTAAATAAGAAAAGATAGAGAAACAAAGGCAGAAAAAGAGAGAACGAGCCAAGATGCGTACTAATAAATCATGTTCTCTTCATACGAATCTCATATTTATAAAGGAGATGGTACATATTAATGATATTATATTTTTTTCCCTGTTTTAAAGGAATTTACAATGGGGTATTAATGATATTTTACATGAGCAAGCATTTCATTCAGCTACTTTCTAACTTGGTTAATTGATTTTAGTCGGTTTTGGGTCAGCAGGATCAGCTCGGACGGCCGAGCTTAGTCGGTATGGAGCATACGATTGATACCACCCGACGGTCAGTCCTTGACTTCTGATGAGATGCCTCTGAGAGTCTTTGAGATGGTTGAAGAAGCTAGGGAATCATATCTTCACTTGGGTCAACCCTTCTGTTGTGGTTGGCCCAGATACACTTTTGTTCTGTTTCTAGCTGAGTGGTTCTTTCTTGTATCTTCCAGTCGTCTTTGGTCTGTCTCATGGTTCGATCAGCTTCAGTCTTGCTAGCTTGGCTCTGACAACTTCACTTGATTGAACAAATATATCTCTTGATATTCTATTAGTAGGTCCTCCTTCACCTTACTCTTTCCTTCTAGACCGTCATATTTCACCACCACCAACACATACACAATTTTAACGCATGTGTATTTACATATAACCCAACACAATGAGATCCTTACTTCCAAATAATTATAGACAAGAAGCTCCTAAACCATGGAAGAAGCACAAGGCAAATACATTTAAATTACTATCTACCCACACAAATCCTTCATTCACTATTCCAGCAAAAGCTTTGATTCTCCCTTGCGACAGCCTTACGTGCTATTGTGGATTT